CCAGCCACAAGCCAGGCTGACGGCTGCCAGTACAGTGGTGGTGGTTGGAGCCTCCCCCACCTCCTCAGCAGCGCTAAGGATGTCTGACTGCAGCTTAGGGTTGCTCCCCGCTGGCAAGTGGACATCCCCTGAGGGCTCCCGGGCTGCCAGAGGATGTCTGACTGCCAGCTTGGGCCCAATCCCCTAGGGAGCGGGCCTAAGCCAGCAGGTGGACATCCTCTGAGGGGTCCCAGTCTGCAAGAGGGCTTGGCCGGGCTGAGGGACCCCCTCGAGTGCACAAATTTTTGTGCACCGGGCCTCTAGTTTAATCATAAATGAGAATGTTTATGTGATATCACATGACCATTGATTTTACTATGTAGTGTCTGTGGGAGTTTCTTGAGTCCAATTCCATCTGGATCACCTTTTTTGTTGTTGCTGTCGTTGAACCTGTTTCAAGTAAGGGATTTTGTTTATTCCTTGTAATCATTCTTTAATTGTTATTTATATCTCTTCTTATTTTTTAAAATATTTTTGTTGATTTCTGAGAGGAATTGGGAAGGAGAGAGAGCGATAGAAATATCAACGATGAGAGAGTCATTGATCGCCTGTTTCCTCCACATCCCCTGCTAGGGCTGAAGATTGTCACCCAGGCATGTGCCCTGACCGGGAGTCGAACCCTGACCTCTTTGTTCATAGACTGATACTCAACCCCTCAGCCACACCAGCTGAACTATATCTATTCTTGAACAATAAAAAATTTCAACATTTAAGACATATCCGCCTATACTCTCACCATTTTGTATTGTTATTGTCATATAGCTTACATCTATAATTTTTTTTAATTTTAAAATACCCTTTATTATTAAGAATATCTATCCAATCATCCTGAACCTCCATTTACAAAATTTATTCCACTTCTGTGAATGAATGAAAACAATTTCTCAGTTTACAGTAGTATTAGCATGTGATTTCACAGTTACATACTTTCTACTGTTAACAGTGAAATGTGAATTGTGGAAAGAAAAGATTCCCAGTGTTGTTATATACTAATGACACTTGATTTCAGTCCCCACTTAGCCATGTACATGGGATGCAACCTTGGGCAAGTTACTTAACCTCTTTGTGCCTAAATGCCTTCTTGGTACAAAGAGGAAAAATAAATTCTGGCTTGCGAGAATAGGTTTACTGTTAAGTATTTTAATTTATGTACAACACTTAAACAGTGGATGGTGTTCTTACCTTGTTACTAAAGGCTTACTATATGCCAATCATTGGCCTAAATACAAACATGAATGTTCCAACAGTTCTGAAAGAGGTATTGGTTATTTAATAGAAGCTGAAATGCCCCTTCTGCTATTGGTGAGACTGTGATACTTCAGTTCTTGTCTTCTTGCAGGAAAGATTTCAATCAAGAGACAAAATACAGCAAAGCAAGCAAGAATTTATTGGCTGCAGCAAAAACACACTTGGGATATGGTATTTGGACACCTATGTCACAAAAAAGGTATTCATAAGAAAGGCATAGAAGAAGCAAGCAGGCCCTTGGCTGGGCTGCTTTGGCTCACTGGGAAGTCAGAGAAAAGGGGGCCTTGGAGACAGGGTCAGGGGGTTACACTCACACACACACACACACACACACACACACACACACATACACGGAGTCCTCTCTCTGGGATGAATTCTGTGGCCCCTCTTAAATGTGAAATAGTTGCTTCCTTCCCCCAGTTCTTTCGTGTGGGCTGCTTTAGGATGGGCCTTGTGCTCTGAGGTGAGTCAGCCGGGCCCCTTCTCTGTCCCTGAGGCCCATCTTACCTGGCACAGCTTCTGTGGAAATTTCCTCTTCTGCATTTCTGTGTATACCTTGTGGCTGAGGTCCTGCCAAATGGGGTGTCCATTTCCGATGGGGCTTGTGCGCCCTCGCTGTCCCTCAGACACTCAGATCCTCGAGCCAGCACAGGTGCGTCCCACGTCCCCAAGAAGCCCTCAGAGCCAAGGCCTTTACCACTCAGCTCTGCACCTGGGTTCCACCCTCCACTAGACTTGGGTCTAAATTCCTCTCTGTTTTGCTCCCGTTTGGTCTAAAACAATATTACAATTACCCTTTTCCAGAATGTTCAATAGTTTCAC